CCTTTTAACATAGACAAAACTTGGAAGTTCTCATTTCTTAAATTACAGTACTTAAAATGTTACAGAATGGGATCATATTGAATATCCCTACAATCCAACCCATTTTTTTCCTCTTTCTTTAACAACTTTCCAGATTATAAGAGAAATTGCCCTTCCAACAACATAACTAATACAATTGCTTACCAAATTACATCACATAAAAAAATTCAGAAATATGTAAGCAGTATATGAAAAACTTGAAACAGAATCAATTATTATCAGAAAAAAAGAAAACCTTTCTTTTCTCTGAACCCCTCCACCAGGTCCAACAGTCTCCTGTGGCCATTCCCACCCCTATAGATTGGCTTTACTTTATTATCTATGTTAGCCCTTCATCGTCTCTTACTGGTCTCATAACCTCGGACTGACATTCCCAATCAAGACCCTTGGCCCATGGTGGTCTAGATTTCCCTAGGTATGCTAATCCCTGCCTTCAGAGCCTGGCCCATATGGCCCATCCCCCAACAAACTCAATCTTTAGCCTAAAGAACGCCTGGGTTGAAAATTTTTTTTTTCTAATTTCTAATTGAGATTCTGATATGTGAGAATACTTCATTAATTCCAAAACAATACATATCAAGTTGTTCACAATAAAATATGTTTGCACTACAGGGCATACATTATAAAATTATTTCCACAATTGTAATAAAATTTGAAACAACCCATTATCACTTTAGATAAATATACTTCTAAGTCACTTTGTGTAGAAAATTATTCATCTCATAATTAATATGTTGAAACTATAACTTTAAACCACCATATATTTTTATAAAAGTCAAGATTTCAAATGAAAATCTGCTATCATATTAAATATCAATATCATTATTGCTTGCTTATAACCAAATATATCTCACTAGGTATTTTAACAGTTTCAAATTATCTCATTTTTATCAGTAAAAGACTCATTCCATGTCAAGAGTTATTTTAACACCATTTCTACCTCACAATGGTCCCTCAAATTTTACAATCTAAGAGTTTTAGAAATACAATACAATTTAGAAACATAGTAATAACTTAAATAATAAACTTCAGGTAACTTCAATTGCATTTCCAGCTTATCACATATAGAGTTTGTCAATCTTATTACTCTTGGTGCTTTTAACAATTACATTAAATAACAATAATGCCACTTCTAACATATGCCATTGTATTAAGCATTTTACAATCATATCATTATTTTGTCCCATAACAACCATTATTATTTTTTATAGAACAGTAAGTTTAAATCCAATCAGATCTGAACTTATAATCACTAATGATAAACATTTAAAAACATTTTTGTTTTAAATCCAATACTCTTGGCCCTTTAAAAGGAAATATTCCCCATAAATTTATATATTCCCTTACAAAGACACATGGTGATAATTCCTACTCTAAATAATTCTCTCCCCTTTTCTTTCCTACTTCCTTAAGGGAGCAAAGAAAAAGTCCCCTCTCCTTCTTAGAGGCATATTAAATAAAGCCACCCTCCAGAACATCTCAGGCTTCAGCAATTTGAATCATTGTTAACTGGGTGTAGTTAGTTTTCTGATTTAACAAAGCCCTCCTACAGGTTTATCCTGAGGTGGCTGGTCTTCTAACCCTCCATAACTTTATTGGTTTTCAAATCAAGCTACAAAATTTTCATTTTTCAATCCTTGTACTTAAAACAAACCCCAAACTTCCTCACACACAAAGGCACCCAGAACAACTAGCACATGGCTTAACTCAAAACACCCTACCTCCACCCAAATTACACTCACTAAGGTTAGGCAGCTTTCCTTTGCAGTTCTGAAATCTGAAGGGAGATAAGAATTGCAAATCCAGAGAACAGCACTCTGCCTCTCTGTCTCCCCAAATAGCCTTTGCAAAGTTACTATGCATTTTTAAACAAATCACTGAAACCTTAAAGTAATCACATTAAAAGACAGAAAAACCCTTATTTCTACAACTCTAAACACATTGCCTTGATATCAGATATATTGGTGGGAGGGATACAAAGACAGCAATTCAAATTCTTAGTCTTGGGATCCCATTAAACCTGAATTCAAATTCTTCTCAGCCTCTCTCCTCTCTAGCATGCTCCAAACCCTTTTCAGTAAAGGCTGCTTGCTGCACCTTCCACTAACTTCTGATAGATTCTCTCTCTGCCTTTTTGATTCTAATCTCAATCTCCCGCTGAAAGCATGAAACGGAGCTCTTTCCCACTGTTCTTTCTCCAATCTCAGACCTTAAAAGTTACCCAAAAAATTTTCTGGCAGATACAAAACATCCACAGACAGACAGATAGACAGACAGGCAATGTGCACATGATTTTAATTCTAACCTTGACTGGTCAAAAGAAATTCATTTTGTCCCAGGGTCCCCTTTGAATGGGTTCTTATGTTTTCCTCCCCTTCAGTAGGAAAAGTTTTTCCTGGGTAGTCCCACCACCTCAGTTTGCTAGCTAGTGTTTTCTGGCCTCCCATCACTAGGTGTTCTCCTCCAAGGGTCCCTTTCCTTCCCAGGACTGGTCTTAACCTAGTCTTAACCTTAACCTAGGATTTGTGACTAACAAGGTTTCCTCCGAGGGTCCCTTTTCTTCCTAGAACTGGTCCTTACCTTGCTCAAGATATCTTGACTTTCATAGTCCTTTGGCCACTGTGGATCTCCCCTGATTGTTCACTCACCGCTTTCAGCCTTAAAAACCAAAACCTTAGCATCCAGGTGATGAGCAACCAACTCAGCCCAAGGAATAAATCAGGGACCTCCAGATTGAGGGGGAGAGCACTCTTCTTTGAGTTCACTCACTTGGGTTGGGTTCAGGGGTCTTTGGATTCCAGAGAGCCCCCAAATTGTTAGAAATGAGCCCTTAGAGACTCTCAGAGCAGAGTGGAGGCTTAAGCCCTAGCAAGCTGCTGCAGCCAATTGCCCCTCCTTTGTATGACTCTGAGAAATCAAGCCTTCTAGTCAAAAATGAAATTAAGCTCAGAGTTAGTAAAGAATCATTTATTACGGTTCTTGGAAAAACCGGGCACACCTCTCAGAAGAGAGTACAATGAATACAGAAGCAAGAGACAGTTTTATACTATTAGAATGCTGCAACTCCTCTTTTCCAGGCCCAGATTGGTCCATTCCTTTTTGGGTTACAATCTTCCTGGTCCACCCATCCCATGTTTCCCCTTGCCCCTTGCATGATCAGTTAATGAAGCTCTAATTCAATGTGGGGTGTGTCAGTTAATATTATATCAGTTAATTAAGCATGTACAGTTCCAAAAACCTGTGCCCTTTGTCCTACTTAGGGCTGGTTAAAACCAGTTCTGCTCTCTAGAACTTTGGGGTCTATGAAAAGATTAGGGCCTTTCTCATTGACTTGCCCTTTCCCCTGTTTCCCTGTTTTTATAAGGTTTTGCAAGCTTGTTAAAACAATGTAACTTCTTATTACTAACATCTTGGCTGATGTTGTAAGATGTCAAAGGTTATCCTAAATTGTGGGAGCATGATACCTTGTCCCTCACACAATTATGAAGACATAAGAACTGCATCCTAGGTCAGCCCTCTTGGTCTCTCCATCACAATATCAACTTCTGAACTGTCTCTTACGGACAGATGAGTAAATCTCCTTCCCCACCACTCTCATTCCATAATGTTTTCTGTAATGTCTAAAGCTGGGTACCAATCCCACAACTTTATTAAAATCCTTCCAATCTCACCTGTATGGGAAAAGCAAGTAAAGTTTATTCCGCAGTAACACCAAGGTTAAAATGAGCTTAGCAGTTTAAGCATGGCAGTGAAAATGGTAGGACCAAAAGACTTAGATTGAATTTTGATGTGGAAGGTCTAGACTTTTAGACCCTCTGCATTTACTTTGAGGTTGTGAAGAAAAAAAAAAAAATCTGTGAGAAAACACCAAGTTATGTTTTGTGTTTTCCTTTTTTTTGTTTTTTTAAAATTTGAACAGTAGAGGAATAAATGAACCTTTCTTCAGTAAGGCAAGTAGTATCTATCTAAAACCAAAGAGCTACCATTATCTTTAATAGAGAAACAGCACTAGAGGACATTTCAATTATGTCAGAGATAAAGCAAGAAGGTCCATTTTTATCATTATCATTTGTTATAGTTATAGAAATGCTAGTTTTTATTTTTATTCTATATATTCCCTTGCTCTTTAGTAGTGTTTCTTGCTTATAAACAACAGGTTGGGAGGCTTTGTTTTCTTTTTTTATTTTATTTTCTTTTTTCACTGGATTTGACCTTATGACCATCTTTATAAAGAATACAAATCAAGCAGCCCCTCCCAGGGACAGTTCTAGGGAATTAGATGCAGTAGCAATAGAAAGGGAGAGGAAAAAAGGGACCAGGGAGAAGTTTCAGAAAAAGGAGGTTGAGGAGGCTTTCCAGAAGACATTTCCAAGCATCTCCTTTTCAGTTCAAATACCTATTATTATTCACCTGGAGAGAAAGATTAGTCCTGAGAGAGTTAAGTGGCCACTGGGAGGGTGGAATGTTAATCAAATAGCCTGGGAAAGGGAAAGGGAAAGGGTTGCAGTCTCTGCCCCTCCTCACAAAGGAGAAGGGGACCCAAACCTTTTGCACCCACCCTAACCCCAACAGGACACCCAGCCCCACACCTTGTTCTTTGAGTCCCAGGGACCTGGGGTTGCCTCAGCCATATGGCACAACTGAAAGGCAAGGAGACTAGGATGGAAATGCAGGAGCAGGCCATCAGGGAAGAGGGCCAGGTAATCACCATAGTTCGAGTCAGGAAAAGCAGAAGTAGCAGCTGCCAGTCCCAGGCCAATGGTCACAGACCAAAGTTAGAAGTCCATGGCCAACAGCTGAGACAGCACCCTCTGCCCACTCCCTGCCAGCCCCCAGCATCTGAGGCTCTCCGTGTTACTCCAGATGCTCCCTGAAGGGGGTTGTCAAAGTGGTTGAGTGCCCAATGTCAGGCAGGTCCAAAACCAGAAATGGGGTATAGGATTACATGCAGGAAGAGGGGGATGCAGTGCTCAGATGAGCTGCTCCTCAAGGGGAAGCTTCAGGTTGGGGAGCGGTGGATCCGAGGCATCTACCTGCTTTTCACTGCTAGGCCAGTAGGTGTCTTCTGTCTGGTGTTTCTCATGAAGCTTCTGGCCCAGCAGATCAGTACTACTACCAGGAGAAGGATATCCAAGACTGAGAATACAGTGATGATGGCAGTGACTGTGTTGTGGTCTGAGAGGTTGAGACCCCTCAAAGACTGGTGTACAGGACAGGGTCGTCTGGAATGAATTCACAGACTCAAGCATTCTTTAAGTCAAGGTAGTAAAGATTTATTGTTACTCTTTTCAGTGGGCAAGAATTCTTAAGGAACCTGCAAGAGATCTAGGATAGAGCTAGGGTTTATATGGAAAAGGGCATGGGAAATGAATGCCAGGGACACTGATGAGGTAATCCAAAGGTGCAGGTGTCTTTGGGAGCTATGGATGAGAAAATACAGGGAGTATACCGGACAGGGAGTGAGATGACAGAGGTATGGATCTTTGGAGTCTGGCAGGAGGAAGAGTCCTTGGGCTGGCCAAGGACAAAACTCCTTGGGCTGGGCAAGGCACCCCTCTCCCTCTGTCTTGATGAGAGAATGCTCTGCAACAAGGGAAAGCTTTCTCACAAGACAGGAACTTACTAAGAAATTGGGAGGCTTCCAGAGACATGATCTGAGGGCTGGGGTCTGAACAGCCCAGCACTGTCTCACCCAGCTTTGTGTGTGTAGCTGCACCAGGGAGAGAGATAAGGGTCTTGCTGGGGCCCATGCATGAATAACTGCTAGGCACAGTGTCCTTGAGCTGGGGAGTGGTTGTCAGAGACAGGGTTTCTGAGACTAAGGAGAAATTAGGGTCCAAGTACAAGCACAAGCACCCAAGCACCCCATCAACTGCATCCTGGAACAAGGCTCTGCTGGCTGGTGGTGCTGTGAAAGGGGTAGTAGTGATGAGATGCTGATTCTAGAGGTGCTGGGACCCTGAGATCATGACATGCAGGTGCTGCTCAAATGAATTTGGCCCAAGTGTTCTTTCAGCCAAAGACAAAGTTTTATTAGAAATAAACCATATAGGCCAGACCCTTAAGGAATCTGAACATTAGTGATGTCTGTGAGAACAAGCAGGCATGAGGAAATCTCAGCATTTAAAAGGGGGCCAGGATGGATCTTGTATACAGTCAAGTAATTTTGAGCGACTAGAGGAGGGGCTGGGAGGAGGATCCTGAAGCTGGGGTGACTGGGGGAGGAGTTTAGGGAAAACCTTGATGGGAGTGCCTGGGAGGCTGAATGGGGTCATCCTCAGGGAACAGACAATGGACCACTAGGCTTTATTAGGGTAACAAAGAACTAGAAGGAAGAGGTTGAGTGAGGTCTAGATAAGATCCTAGGTGGGATCCTAGGTGATACTAGGATCAAAGACTAGGCTTCTTCATTAGAATATCAAAGACTAGGCTTCTTCATTAGGGGATCAAAGGGAGATAAGGCCCTGAAGAAGGGAGAGCCAGTCAGAATAAGAGAGAGGCTTATCAGAATAAGAATAAGAGATAAAGAAAGGCCAGTTGATTGGAGTATAGCCTCAGGCAACCTTCTGAAAGTAGGTGAGTGAGGTCAAGGAAAGTTTAAGGGTTTTCTGGGGCTCATAGACAAATGGGACCCAAATTCTTTTTGGAGCAAAGGGCAAAGGTCTCAGCTTGGGCCCATACCCCATCATTAGTATTGCTTTCATGCCCAGCATAGCCAGTATTATGGGCTAAGGTGGGCTGGGGGTTCAATAGTTGTAGGCTCAGTGCCAAGCACAGGCGAAGGCCAGGGCTGCTCACCATGGGCCCCTGGGAAACTGAACCAGGTCTATGCCATGGCTGACCTGGCTCCTGACCTCCAGTGCCTATTGCATCTCAGACTACTGGTGCCAGCTTTCAGCTCTGGTCTTCAACCTGGCAGTCAGTCCTTCTGTCCCTCATTCACCTCCAGTCAGCTCCCGAAGCTTTGTTTTCTTATCCAATCTTTCATTCTCTACAGTTTTATTGTATTGTTCAATATAGTCATATTTAAAATGATGAGAGTTAGGTTTATATTTTCTGATTGTAAAACTACAGGTACTAAATATGTCAGTCTCTGTTGCAGACACTTCAGGTAAATGCTAAAGATCAACTCCTCAGAGAGCCCCAGCTGGGAGTATAAGGGAAGTATTCTTCCCTACTTGGATTGGACTAAAGCCTGGAATTCCTTTTGCTTTTTCTTTGTGTCTACAGCAACTATCCCAGTCTCTGCTACATTGTAATTGTTCAATGAATAACTATTGACTGATTGATTGATTGATTGGGAGCAGGGCTGATGGTCAGTCAAATTGCAAAGTAGGTTAATATTCAGGCCCAAATCCTCTTCCTGTTTGCTCTCCTTCCTTTGATCCACTTCCCCAAGATTCATTGCCATCTCTCTCTCATACCCCAACCAAAAGCTCTTTTCATTTTTGTCCTTAGTGTTTTTATTTCTGAATTAGAAATTTTTTCTCCTTCTTCTAAATTCACACTTTGTTCATACAGTAATTTTTTCCTCTAAGTACTTTAAGGCAACAATGTTTTCTAAGACTCCTTCCTGCTATTGATAAACACTCCCTTCTGTTTGTTAATACTTTACCCAGTTTCAAAGTTGTACTTCACTTTTTAAATTGATTTTCTTCCTTTCTTATATTTAGTTACCTATTTCTTCCCTTCCTTTTCTCCTCCCATTTAATCACTTAATTCAAAATCTTCCTTTCTAACCCTCCAAATTTATCAAAAAAAATATATTCCCCTTTGTAAAAAGAATTTCTTCTTTTTTCTATACTTTAATTTTCTTCCCTTACTGTATATTTTTAGCTCTTATCCCTTGATTCTTGGTCTGTATATATATTTATTCCTTCATTTTGTGTTCTTCATGAAATTAAAGCTTCAGAAACACCAAGTTTCAGTTTCCTCTTCAAATCAATTTTTGATGTTATTTCCAATGTAGGTTTTGCCTCCTCATCTCTCTTTTCTATTGTGTCTAGGTCTTAAAGTATGAATTCATGAGGGAGGTGATGAACACAGAAGCATTGTCACAAGGCAGAAATTTATCCATGTCCCACATCACTCAGTCCAATTTTACTCCCCATCCTCCTTGTGATCATTTTCTTTTTCATTTGCCATGTGATATCCTCTTTGAATCTCGCCTTCTCACCCTTCTGGATTCCAGGAGCCCCCAACAACTCTGATGTCCATTCTGCTGAGGAAGGGTTTAGACTACTCTCTCAGGGGAAATAGTTTCCCCATGTTTCATGATGTCCCCATGAACCAACACAAAGATTGGACAAATCACTTGTTATGAAATATATCTTTCCCCCTATGCAGTGCTCTTCACTAGAATTCCTACAACTTCTTCATAGAGTTATGACTTCTCCCTCCATTTCCTCCTCTTTCAATCTCTCTTGTTGCCTCCTAACTTATTCTCCTATAGCTTTTCTTCTTCCTGAGAGATGACAGAACTCTTGACTTTGTTGATTGCCATTGATTTGATCAGAGTACATCAAATATTTCCCTCTCAACTCTATCTCCCCACTACCCTTTTATGCCCTTTCCCATTCTGAAATGTAGTATTCAAAGATATATCAATTAAGGCATAGGGTAGGTTATGGGGTTGAGTCTATAGCAGCAATTTTCAGTGTTTTTTGATCCACAAATTCCTTTCATAGAAAAACATGTTTTGAGTGCCTAGGCTTATTTTATGTAATAGTCATAAAATTTTTTTAGATTTAATAAGTGCTTATAATACCTATAATGTTAACTCTTGCCCCCAAAGCTCCAAATTTAAAATTATATATGAAATATAAAATTTTGTTAAAGCCATATAATTTTAAAAGCATGATATGTAAAATTATAAAACACTAACTGCAAAATGATTGTGCATATTTTATTTGGGATGTTCTATAAGAAGTAGAAGAATAATTCAGTAAGACCTCTTATGCTTACTGTTTTCTGCAAGACTTCATCTTAAATTTCTTTATTTTACAAATTTTGTTGAATATAAATAATATTTTAATTAAATAAGTTATAAGATTTTTTCATAACATAGTAGTCACATATAAATTTAATTTAAACATTTTTCATTTGGAAAAAGATTTGCAATATTTGATTCAATACAAAATAAATACAATCTCATATCTGATTCTACATCAAGTTTCTTTCTGGATTTTGATTTAAAAGTAGAAAAAAGCCAAAATGTTCACTCACATAAATATGCAGTGGAACAAGTGTTGTACTCTGGGGAAAGGAATGAAAGCAGGTATAGTCTGGACTTCATCCAACTCACCAAATGGGTCTACTGGTTTGACTGATTGGCGTTCTACAGCAACAGCTCTTTCTAGCCTTTTCCCCAAACTAGAAGCTCTTCTCTTTTTCTTCTATTTCTTGATTCATTTACCATCCTCAAAGAAATTTCATTTCCTCTAGATTTCCCCTGCTTGAGATAACGGGGTCAATGCCCCTCCCTGATGTGCTCAGAAGGGGAAGAAGGAAGACCAGAGCAGCATGCAGTCCTTCTTGGTTTATACTATGTGGTCTTTGGGTGGAAGTTCATGTCAAGGCCAATATCTTTGAAGCCTTAAGTAACTCAGAGTATCTGCCTCGTACACATATCCCAGCCTAGCAAATTTTCATGATATCTCTGTGGCAGTGGTAATACAATCCAGGTTATATTTAGGTTATAAAGTAGATTTGTTGTGGAGTGTGGAAGGGGAGGAGGATTACTGGGAAATGACAGCAATGGAAAAGAAGGAAACATCAAATAAAACACATCAAAAATAAAATAAAATGAGGAGATTGAACTAGGTGAGCTCTAGGTCCCCTCAAACTCACAATCTCTGAGCCACAGTGATCTCAGGACCAGATTATATTATTTCTTACCATCTCACTTATCTGATGTTTCAACTCCCAGTTGATCATTTTTTGCTCTATCCTTTCAAAACCAAAGATCATTCATTCTCCTTGGTAGAGAAAACAGAAGCACAATAAGGATGGATTACTTCTGCCTTCATCTGTTATCTCTATTCCATCTGCTCCAAGGATTGACTCTATCCCTTCAATTCCACCTCCTCAACATGTCTCACATCTGTCCCTTTCTCCATTCTCACAACCCCTACCTTATTTCAGGCCCTTATGACCTCTGACAAGTGAAATCATGAACTACCTGGTCTCCCTGCTCCCAGTCTCTCCATTCTGATCCCTTCTCCATGCAGCTGCCAAAACAATCTTCACAAAGCAGAATTTTGACATTTTCAAGGACAAATGCAAAATGTTCAACCTCATCTTTAAAGCCCTCCATGAGAGGCAGCATTGCATATTGGACAGGGCACTAGACCTGAAGCCAAGGACATGTGAGTTCAAATCCAGCTCAGATACTTGCTAGCTATATGCCCTTGGGCAAGTTACTTAACTTCTTTTTGCCTCAGTTTCCTCTTCTGCCAAATGAGAGAGGTTTGATTCCATGGCCTCTAAGGTCCTTTCCAGTTCTAAATCTGGGATCCTATAATTCCCACCTCCCTTTTCAATCTTATGACCTATGACACACTTTCAGGAATATCCTGTTTCAGTCAAATTGACCTGCTGCTAGCTGTTGCCCATATTTGATATCACAAAAGTTACCACACATACATTTGATCTTTTGAGAATGTGGTATTCTATGTCTGGCATGTACTTTTTACTCTGTCTCTGCATCTCAGAATCTGTAGCTTCCTTCAAAGTTCAGCTCAGAGTCACATCCTTCACTAGGCTTTTCTCCATTCTGCTTCTCCTCTGCCTCCCATCCTTACCTTGAAGTATCAGTGTCAATCCCTCTTCAAATGGCTCTTAAGGGGGAATGCATTGAGTCAATTCTACCATGCTCCATAAAAGAGAGTGACATATTTATGGGTTGAGAATACATTTCCCTTCTTCACTGGATTTGAACAAAACCTTAACACTTTCCTAAGTGCTGGTTGGTTGTTGTCTTTCATGCTCAAAGATGACCAAAATGACATCAATACATTGTAGTTAAGGTACAATGTGTCTGACTATGACTGATCAGATCAATATGGGCTTAGAAGGCTCTACCACCATTTGGCTACAAATAGGCCATATGAACATTGGGTTACTGCAATTCTGCTTCACTATTGAGCACCAGTGCCTTCTTTGATGCAGGCATACCTGCTGGGCTGTCCTTTGCCATTGTCTCCCATCTCATGCAATTGATTCCAAAGTTCTTCAGAGAGACCTTGAGACTGTCCTTGTATCTTTTCTTCTGACCACCATTTGAGTACCTGCCTTAGGTGAGTTGTTCTGTCTGTAGTAGAGTTTGAATGCTTGGCAGTTCCCCTCAAGAAAGGACCTCGGGGTACAATACCTCATCTTGCCAGGTGACCTTCAAATTCTCCCTAAGACAATTCATATAGAAGCACTTCAGTTTCCTGGCATGTCCACTTTTCATAGGCATACACCAATGAAGTCAGCACAATGACTCTGTAGATCTTCAGTTTAGTAGGTGCTGCTAGGTAGCAGTACATCTTCTTTCCCACACTTTCTTTTGGAGACTCCCAAACACTGAGCCAGATCTGGCAATGCCTGCATCAACCCTACTGTAAGGCTGTCAGATTGATTGAAGAAGTTGCTCTAGCTCTCTGAGGCTGAACAAAACCCCAGAGCTTGGTCAAATCTGAAATTGACTTGCTAAACAGAGAAGAAGTTTCTCAGTGAAGGAATAGCTTGGACGTAGGGTGGAGATTGCTTCAACCTTAGCTTAGTCTCCTTCCTAACCAACTCCTCACTCCCACTTTTGGCCACATGAAGGATCTGGTGAGTTTTGAAAGGTCTCAAAGATTTTTAACTTTTCATCATCCCATGGGCATCCTAGGAATGTTACTGGAACAGCTGATGCCAGTGTCTGCTTCATGAACCAAGGATAGATTGGATGCAGATTCAGAGCTCTATAGAGAGCCCAGAATAAAAATAAATAAGCAATTTCATCATGTTTAAGGGGAACATCTTGAGGGCTCTAGCATAAGGACTTTCAGGAGCTATGAGTTCTCTTTCCCCTGGACTGTGAATGTACTAAAGGGAGAAAGTATTACAGACATTTGTGAAGATGATTGTCCCAACTGTTCTTAATATACTACCTTTGCAATTACCATTTTCTAAAGCGAATTAAGTCTGGTTAACTAATTGATATCAACTGATAATCATGGATGAGAGTAGCATGGGAGCATGAGGGTAGGTCTAATGATCAATATAGCACTAGAAAAGACACTCTTCCAACTCTCAAGTCAAATTCTTAGTCCCTGAGGTGACTTAATAACCATGTTCTGGGGACTTGACTTGTTGGTGCCAAGGAAAATTGGAATAATCTCCCTTGGCTATTCTGATATAAATATTTTTGGATTTACTTATAAGTGTACATGGCATATTTGCCCAGTAGAATGCCAGCTACTTTGGCATAACATTAGTTTCTGCCCCTTTTTTTGCCTTCTATCTTCAATATCTAACGTAATGCCTTCTATAAAGAAATCATTTCCATCCAGTTGGATTTTCTTAGCTTTCATTGCCAGGTCTGTGCATTCTAAACTTTGAATGACATTTCTCTTTTAGGTCTGTGCCCTTTTTTTGAATCTACAGTTATCTGCCTTGGTTTCCATCTTTTATATAGTATGCTGACCAAAGGCCCACTCTCACTCCTCAGCCTCTGGAAATAGGTCATAGTCTTCTTCTTTTTAAAGTAACTTTGCCAGCAAAAAGGTAGCTTTGAGGTCCCAGTTCGGATTCTGTTCAGACCTCTCTCCCAGACTGAAATGTCCCACTATTCCCTCAGGATAGTAGTTTATTGAATTGGAGGTGAGAGAGATGATCATTAAAGCCCACCTGTCACTGTCCCTACTACTCCAAAATATCAGCCCGTCCCACTGTTCTCTGGAGTCTCCAAACAGATTCATCTATTCAAACTAGTGGATGAATATGACCCAATTTGGGGTTTTTTCAGCAAAGATACTGGAGTGGTTTGCAATTTCTTTCTCCAGCTTATTTTACAGATAGGGAAACTGAGGCAAAAAAGGGTTAAGTGACTGGCCCAGGGTCACACAGCTAAAAGGTGTCTGAAAGGAGATTTGAACTCAGATTTTCCTGACTGTAAGCCCAGTGCTCTATCCACTGCACCACCTAGCTGCTAAGAACTTGGTCTACTATTTCAGAAAAGGTCTTGTCATGCTTCACTTCATTCCCTTCTCTGCAGAACTTCCTCCACAACCCCCCTGCCAACCTCTTCATAGAGATGTACCTATGTTCCTCACAGTTCTTCCCATTCCACCCCCAAAGTAAAATCAGGATCCAAGAGTTGTGATAAAATCTACTTTTCCATTGTTCCTGGATGGGCTGTGTCCATCTACTCCCTTGTGGCCCCACTCACCATTTTCAGCCCAAAGTGGGCCTCCCTGGTCACCACTGCCCTATAGTCTTCCCCCCAGTAGAATATATGCTCTTCAGAGTGGGTATTGTCTTTACTTTTGTATTTGTATTCCCAATGCTAAGAATATAATTGGTGATTGGTAAATTTTTTTTTATTCATTCATTCAAAAACCTTGATTACTGAGTTTTAAGTGAAAGGTCTTTGGATACAGATGAATATATTGTATTATATATGTATATATATATATATGTATTTGTTTGTAAAAGCAATTAGAGAAATAGGATATAATCTAGGGAGGGACAAGAGAACCAAGAGAAGGACAATTCCAAGTATTGAATACTTGTCTATATTTCAGTACCCATACTCAAATGGACCTATGACCTCATTGATTCAAAAGTTCTATCCAAGGTACAGATCTCCATTCATCCATGCCTGTTCATTCTATGTGACTCTTGTCCATATTCTCCCATAAATTTCCATATGGGGTCTACCCAATTTCATAACTGTCCTCCTTGCTCTCTCCTAACATTGGGAAGGTACCTGTGGATCCCACTGTTTGTCATCTGTCACCTTTTTTTTTCTTGCCATATATACAGCTCCTGTTGTCTTCCTCTAATACATTTCCTTGATATCTTTGACCCCTTTTCCCTCTTTGGAATGTTTATATATTTCAATCTGTTTATACCCACTATATGCCTGGACAGTGCCTTGTGTGTGATAGTCATGCTTAATTCTCCAGAGGCAGTTGTAATTCATATCTTACTGCCATATCACAATAGCAGGAGAATATTACTATTATAAAAATGAACCTTTGCATTCATGAAAAGCTTGGGGTCAGTAAAGGACTTATGGGATTTTTCTGGCTGAAATCCAAAACATTCTCTTTCTTCTGATCAACTCTGTGCCCATCTCATCACCCATGTGTAAGTCTATCCCAGTTAGGCATACTGATGGATAGACTCAATAGAATGTCTATCCAAGTGGATGCTGAAATCTGTGCAATAGATATTCTTCATTCACTTGGTCTGGGTCCAGTAGTCAACAGGAATTGTGAGCAGAGCCTGACATAGCCCATCAGATCGCCATGCCCTTTTCAGTAAAGAGGGTAATATTGATTTGATTATTGTCCCCTGATCCAAGGGTAGATCGTAACCTCTGAAGTTAGGAAGTGTGTTCAGTGTTTGCAACCTCCCGGAGGATCTGCAGAGGGGCTGGAGGAATAAGGAACAGAGAGTGGGTCAAACTTGGGTGAGGAGGACTTGGGGTGGTTGTTGCGTCACTATCCTAATTGTGGGGGTGGGGAAGTTTTCGATATAGGTCTGAGTGACGGATGGGTACTGATAGTGACTCAAAAAAAGATGAAAGAAAGAAAAGAGCCTCAGTGATTTTGATTCCTTGAGTCCTTTTTCTGCTATGACTCAGTAGACAGACAGTACTGGTTTGGGAACCTGAAGGTCCGGGTTCCTACCTCCATTCCAGATTTGAGGTATCCCCTTGGAAAAGTCACTTGCCCTCTAGAAAAGCTGGGGGGAGGGTGGTGAGCATGGGCAGGAAGGGCAACTGGACGTGGGCTATGTTCTCACTGGTCACGCCCAAGTTGCAGTTATGGATTCGAGGGCGGTGGTGTCCTTTAGGGCTGACCCGCCTCCGGGTGTCCCCCTCAGAGTACTTCACCTAGCAGAAAAAAGCAGAGTGTCACTTTGTGAATGGAACTGAACACGTGCGGTATGTGCTAAGATGCAACCACAACCGGGAGGAGATTGTGAGCTTCGACAGTGACGTGGGGGAGTTTGTAGCTATGACGGAGTTGGGGTGGCCAGAGGCTGAGTATTGGAACAGCCAGAAGGAGATTCTGGAGTACAGACGCGGCCAGGTGAACTCTTACTGCAGGCACAACCACAAGGCGTTTCAGTCCTTCTTAGTGAGCCTGAGCAGTGAGTGTGCGCCTCCGGGGAAGGAAAGGAGGGACCAGGGGAGCCCAGCAGTGAACCAGAGAGAGAGAAAGAGAGCAGGAGACAGGCAGGCGTCCTGGGGAGGGAGCAGAGCAGGGAGGGAAGCTATGGGAGGGAGGTTGTGATAGGAGGGGAGCAGGTGGAGAGAAGAAAAGGGGGCGAGGGGTCACAGGAGCAGTTGCAGGAACAGCAACCGCCAGAACAAGGGAGAGACAAGGGGGAAAAGAAATAGAGAGGGGGAGATGATGGATTAAGAGAGAGGAGGAAGGGAAGGGACCAAGAGGGGAGGAACAGGGAAGGCAGAGAGATGAGAGGTGGGGAGAGATTGGGAACAAAGGGGGGATAAAGGGGAAGCAAGAAGCATGGGGGAAACGGATTAGGAGAGAGGAAAAAGAGGTAGGGAATTGACAGAGGGAAAAGAAGGGCAGCAGAGAAGATAGGGAGGAATTAAGAGCAGAAAAACTGGAGATGAATGAAAGGGACAAGGGGAGTGGAGAGAGAGGAAAAGAAAGGGAGAATGAATGGTGGAGAAAGAGGGTAGGGACAGAGGGAAAGGAGAGATATGCTGGAGAAGGAAGGTGGAAGAAGCCCTCCTGTACCAGCATGCATTTTGATTCTTTGAATCCTTTTTCCTCAGTCAAATTCAAATTTTTTACCTCCTCCAGTTCTAACTGGGATAAATTGAATTGGGAACAAGCCAAAATCCCTTCACCAATAAGTAACTCACATTTATACACTACTAAAATGGTTAATAGACAGCTAGATAGTGCAGTGGATAAAGTGCCAGGCTTGTCTTCCTCATTTTCCTGAGTTCAAGTCTGGCCTCAGAAACGTCCTAGCTGTTTGACCCTGGGCAAGTCACTTAACCTTGTTTGCCTGAGTTCCCTAAGTTTGCCCAAGTTACAGATAAGGATCTGTAAAAGGAGCTGGAGAAGGAAATTGCCAACTACTCCAGTATCTTTGCCAAGAAAGCCCCAAATGGGGTAACAAAGAGTTGGGCATGACTAAAAAACAACAGAAAAACAAAAAATGGTTAATATAAAATTAAATCCCCCAAGTCCTGAGTGCCCAGGTGTCATGAACCTTTTAAAATCTTTTTTTTTATTTTTCTATTTTCTTTTTTTTTTTAGGTTTGTTTTTCTTATTAATTTATTTATTTTTAGTTTTCAATATTCACTTCCACAAGATTTTGAGTTCCAAATTTTCTCTCCATTTCATTCTTCCCCCCACCCCAAGATGCCATGCATTCTGAAGACCCTTTCCCCTAATCTGTCCTCCCTTCTATCTCCCCCCCTTCTCTTATCCCCTTCCCCTTCTATTCTCCTATAGAGCAGGATAGATTTCTATACCCCAATACCTGTATATCTTATTTCCCAGTTGCATGTGAAAACAATTTTTAACATTTGTTTTTAAAACTTTGGGTTCCAAATTTTCTCCCTTCCTCCCTCCCCACCTACCCTCATTGAGAAGGCAAGCAACTCTATACAGGTTATACATGTATAGTCATACAAAACACTTCCATAGTAGTCATGTTGTGAAAAATTAACTATATTTCCCTTCATCCTACTCCACCCCCCATTTATTCTATTCTCTCTTTTGACCCCATCCCTCCTCAGAAGTGTTTGCTTCTGATTACCCCCTCCCTTCTATCATCCACTTCCCTTATCCACTTCCCCCCACTTCCTCCCTATTTTCCTGTAGGGTAAGATAGATTTCCATACCCAATTGAGTGTGTATGTTATTCCCTCCTTAAGCCAAATCCTATGAGAATAAGATTCATTCATTCCCTCTCACCTTGCCCATTTCCCCCTCCACAGTAAAATCCTTTTCTTGTCTGTTTCATGTGAGATAATTTACCCCATTCTACTTCTCCCTTTCTCCTTCTCCCAGTATAATCTTCTCTCACCCCTTAATTTTATTCTCCAGATATCACCCCTTCATCTTCAACTCACCCTGTGCCATCTATCTATCTATCTATCTATCTATCTATCTATCTATCTATCTATCTATCTATCTATAAACATAATTTTTTCCTTCTAACTACCCTAATGCTGACAAAGGTCTCATGAGCTACAAATATCATCTTTCCATGCAGGAATGTAAACAGTTCAACCTTAATAAGTCCCTTATGATTTCTCTTTCCTGTTAACCTTTTCATGCTTCTCTTGAGTCTTGTATTTGAAAGTCAAATTTTCTATTCAGCTCTGTTCTTTTCATCAAGAATGCTTGAAAGTCCTCTATTTCACTGAATGTCCATTTTTCCCCTCAAGTATTATACACAGTTTTGCTGGATAGGTGATTCTTGGCTATAATCCTATCTCCTTTGCCCTCCAGAATATTATATTCCAAGCCCTCTGGTCCCTTAATGTAGAAACTGCTAAATCTTGTGCTATCCTGATTGTGTTTCTACAGTACTTGAATTGTTTCTTTCTGGCTACTTGCAGTATTTTCTCCTTGACCTGGGTACTCTGGAATTTGGTTACAATATTCCTAGGATTTTCCTTTGGGGATGTCTTTCAGGAGGTGATCAGTGGATTCTTTCCATTTCTGTTTTGCCCTCTGGGTCTAGAATATCAGAGCAGTTTTCCTTGATAATTTCTTGAAAGATGATGTCTAAGCTTTTTTTTTTATCATGTCTTTCAAGTAGTCCAATAATTTTTATATTCTCTCTCCTGTATCTATTTTCCAGATCAGTTGTTTTTCCAATGAGATATTTCACATTGTCTTCTATTTTTTCATTCTTTTGGTTTTGTTTTACAATGTCTTGATTTCTCATAAAGTCACTAACTTCCATTTGCTCCATTCTAATTTTGAAGGAAGTATTTTCTTCAGTAAGCTTTTGAACTTCTTTTTCCATCTGGCCAATTCTGTTTTTGAAGGAATTCTTCTCCACATTGGCTTTTTGGACCTCTTTCACCATTTGTGTTAGGTTATTTTTTAAGGTGTTGTTTTCTTCAGTATTTTTTTGGGTCTCCTTCAGCAAATTGTTGACTTGTTTTTCATGATTTTCTTGCATCACTCTCATTTCTCTTCCCAGTTTTTCCTCTATTTCTCTTAATGGCATCTCAAAATCCTTTTTGAGCTCTTCAATGGCCTGGGACCAATTCATATTTTTCCTGGAGGCTTTGGGTGTAGGAGCTTTGAGTTTGTTGTCTTCTTTTGGTTGTATGTTTTGATCTTCTTTGTCACCAAAGTAAGATTCTATGGTATGGCTTTTTTTTTTTTTGTGCACAGTTTGCTCATGATCCCAAACAATTACTTGAGTTATAAATGCTTTGTTAAGGTAGGGGTCTGCTTCCAGTGTGGAGAATGTACTGTCCCAAGCTTCAGGGATTTTGTGCAATTGTTTTCAGAGATGCTTCTAGGGACCTATAAATTTTCAGTTCTTCCAAGGTGATATGATCAAGGGTGAGGTGTTTATTCCTTTTCTGGCCTGTGCTCTGGTCTATGAGTGACCATAAGCATTCTTTTCTGCCTTGGAACTGTGAGGAGGATTTCCTCTCCACTGCCACTACAAGCTCCACCATGCCAGCACTCCTCCTCACCACAGGACTGCCACTCAGAACTGTGACCTAGATCCAAACTTGGGAAAAGCAAGAGAATCCTGCCTCAGCACCAGTAAAGAGATCCCTGCAATCCCTCTCTGATTAGCTATTGGAATCTCCCTATGTCTGTAGGCCTAGCTCAGGAAGCTGCCATCACCCCTAGGCTGTGCCAGAATTGGGGCTGGGACCTAGTTTCTCTCTCACCTCAATCACAGACTTTTCCTACTGACCTTATAAGTAGTCTTTGGCATTTGTGGGTTGAGAAGTCTGGAAACCACCACAGCTGCCTGTCATTCAGTCTCCTGAGGCTTGCTCCAGATTCGCTAAGGACTATTTTGCCTGTGCACTCATGCTGAACTTTGTTCCTCTCCCAGTCCATCATGGTAGACTTTTCATATCAACCATCCAGGTCATCTTGGGCTGGAAATTTGTTTCACTCTGTCTTTTTGTGTGTTCTGCTGCTTTAGAATTTGTTTAGAGCCATTTTTTACAGGTATTTGGAGGAGTTTGGGGGAGAGCCCAAGCAAGTCACTGCTTTTACTTGCCATCTTGGCTCTACCCTCATCTTTTAAAATCTTAGATAAAACTATTCTTTTTTTATCCCTGAAACTAAGCTCAGTATAGGCTTCCCATGCTCTATTTGCTCCTGTCTCAACCACATTTTCTCCCTCTCTTCCCCCTCCCAGCCTTCTCTGATAACTCTTACAACTGATGCCTCATCACTGAAATTGTCTTTTTCCAGGGACAAAGACATATTTCTACTTCTTCTAGGGCCCCTGGACTCTGGATCAGGATGCTCAGGTTTCTACTGGGCCTAGATGTTCCCCCACAAGTTCTCTGATTCTAAATTTTTTCAGTGGATTAATAACATCTCTTAATATTTAATATGGAAGTCTTTCTTAAAATAGTTTATTATCACTGCTTGGTACTGGCTAAGAAATAGAGTGGTGGGTCAATGGAATAGGTTAAATATGCAAGACACAGTAGTCAATGACAATAGTAATCTATTATTTGATAAACCCAAAGACCCCAACTTCTGGTATAAGAACCCACTCTTTGAAAAAAACTGCTGGGAAAACTGGAAAAGAGTATGGCAGAAACTAGGCATAGACCAAAATCTCACACCATATACCAAAATAAAGTCAAAATAGGTCCAAGATTTAGATATAGAAGCTGATACTATAAGCAAACTGGGAGAGCAAGGAATAGTTTACCTGTCAGATCTATGGAGAACAGAAGAATTCATGACCAAACAGGAGATAAAGAACATTACAAAAAACAAAATAGATAATTTTGATTACATTAAATCGAAAAGTTTTTGCACAGACAAAGCCAATGCAACCAAGATTAGAAGGAGGGTAGAAAATTGGGAAAGAATTTTTACAACAGTCTCTCTGATAAGGGCCTCATTTCTAAAACATATAGAGAATTAAGTCAAATTTATAAGAATACAAGCCATTCCCCAGCTGATAAATGGTCAAAGGATATGAACAGACAGTTCTCAGATGAAGAAATTAAAACCATCTATAGTCATATTAAAAAATGCTCTAAATCACTATTGATTAGAGAAATGCAAATCAAAACAACTCTGAGGTACCACATCACACCTATCAGAATGACCAATATGACAAAACAGAAAAATGATAAATGTTGGAGAAGATGTGGGAAAATTGGAACACTAATGCATTGTTGGTGGAGTTGTGAAATGATCCAACCATTTTGGAAAGCAATTTGGAGCTATGCCCAAAGGGCTATAAAAATGTGCATACCCTTTGACCCAGCAATAACACTTCTAGGGCTATATCCCAAAGAGATCACACAAATGGGAACAGAACCTACATGTACAAAAATATTCATCCAGCTCTTTTTGTGGTGGCAAAGAATTGGAAATTGAGAGGATGTCCATCAATTGGGGAATGGCTGAGCTAGTTGTGGTATATGAATGTGATGGAATACTATTGTGCTATAAGAAATGATGAACAGGCTGACTTCAGAAAAACCTGGAAAGACTTGTATGGTCTGATGCTGAGTGAAGTGAGCAGAACCAAGAGAACGTTGTACACAATAACAGCCATGTTGTACGATGACTAAGGTTGATAGACTTAGCCCTTCTCGGCAATACAAGGATCTAAGACATCTCCAGAGTCCTTGTGATGGAAAATGCTATCCACACCCAAAGAAAGAACTATGGTAGCTGAATTGCTAATTTTTTTCTCTTCTGTTGAGTTTTGTTTCGTCTTTCTGATGGTTTCTCCTATTGGTTTTAATTTCTACTTACAACATCACTAATGTGTAAATATGTTTAATATGAATGTAAATGTATAGCCTATATCAGATTATGTGCTGTCTTGTGGAGGGTGGTGGGGAGGAAGGAGGAGAAAAATTTTAAACTCAAAAGCATATGGAAGTGATTATTGGTAAATCAAAATAAATTAATAAAAAAATAAAATAAAATAGTTTATTATCTACACCTATGGTTTGCTTTTGGAAACAATCCATTAAAAAGTATCCATTTATAATGAGAAAACTTGCCTGTTAATTTCTTCCCATATCACTGAATCCTGATGACCTGAGGCTGTGATAATTCAGCACCATGGACTCCTAGGGCTACTTCCTGCTAGTTCAGATTTCTAGTCTTAGGGGGAGCTTAAACATCTATCAAGATGCCCATTTCTGGTCCTGAGGAGGAGAGCAGACCTGAGCCTCATTAAGAATAAGTTACAGAGATGGAGGCTGAACTAGGAAGACCTGCTCTGACTCCTTCACTCAACATCTTTCTTCTTTCTTCCAGTTGAGCCTGAGATGATTGTGTATCCATCAAAGATGGCTCCCCTGGGACACCACAACCTGCTTGTCTGCTCCGTCAATGGTTTCTATCCTGGAGACATTAAAGTCAGATGGTTCCTGAATGAGCAGGAGGAGACAGCAGCTGTTGTGTCCACAGGCCTCATCAGCAATGGAGACTGGACCTACCAGATCCTGGTAATGCTGGAAATGACCCCCAAGCATGGCGATGTCTACACCTGTCAAGTGGAGCACTCCAGCCTTCAGAGACCTGTCATCTGGGACTGGAGTGAGATACAGCTCCCTCCCTCTCCAGTTCTAACATTGTTTATTCTAACATTGCTCAGGTCATGGAGTTAGCTCTGAGATCACCTCAGTGTGTGTCCTGTGTACTCTTCTCTTTTGCCCTGGGCTAATACAAACCCCATGTGGTGCTAACCACCCTCCCCCCTTTCCCCAGCACAGCCCCCTAATGATGGTGCTGACCTAATAGCTATGGACACCTAGAACATTGTCATTCTCCTCACTGACCCCAGCCTTGGGAGCTGGCCTCCCTCTAGGACTCTGTGATCAGCCTATAGACCCCTTTCTCATGGGATAGGGGAGCTAGGCTTTGAGACAGATTGATGTCACTGTCCTCTGTGGAGCTTTCACTTCCTGAGTCCTGAAAGGCCCTTTGTACATCCATCTCTTCCTTTCTTAGACAGGATTTATCCACCTTCTCAGACTCCCTTAAGACCCATCTGCTCCCCACATGGGGCTGGCTCCTGCAGGGAAAGTTTTGATCCTTGGTGTCTCTTCTCCCCAGAAGTACAGTCTGAATCTGCCCAGAGTAAGATGCTGAGTGGAGTCGGGGTCCTCACACTGGGACTGAGCTTCTTTGGGGTTGGCCTCATTGTCCACAAGAGGAGTCAGAAAGGTGACATAGTCTGGGGAAAGCACTGAGGCCCCTTCCCTTCCATGATCTTCTCCAGGAGAGAGGATATTTGATTGTGCCCCAGGTCTGAGATGAAGCGGTGCTCTGGCTATGGATTCAGCTGTTCCTCCCCAGGCACTCATAGAAGTTGGTGAAGGGCTAGATCCTAGGACTCAAAGTGTCTTAGGAATCTCATATTCACTAGGAGAGACAACCTTGGGAGGGGTCTCAGGTTCTAGCCTTCAGCCCCTCTCCTCTGCCATCTCCCTCCCCCTATCCATTCACACAGTTGTAGAAGGATGGAAAAAGCATCAGTTAAGTGCTTCCTCTGTGGTGTCAGGTACTGGGCTAAGTAAGCAGTGTTAGGAACCCTCTATCACACATTCCTAAGAACCTTGGTGCCCTTTGTTTCCAAGACTCTAAGATTTACAAGGATTTGTATGTCTGTCTCTCTTCCTTCCTTTCCCAGGAAATTGGGGTTCACAGACAACAGGTAAGATCCTTCTACCCAGGTGGTATCAGGGTTCTTATAGCTACAGCCTCTGCCCAGTGGGGCCTGAAGCTGAGAAGAGATTTGGGGGTCTTTAGTGGGAAGAAGTGGTTCTACTTGTGGCTTCAGACCCCCATGTAGGCTCTTATATGACTGTTCTGTGTCCTCTGCAGGGCTCCTGAGCTGATACCTGAGGCTGTGTCCCCTGGAATTGTTGCATCCCCTCAGCCTTGCTCTCACATTTGGAGGCCGCTGATTGCACCCAGATCTCCAGGAGTTTAGCCCTATTGAGCCCTTCCTGAAACAGCTCCTTCCCTGTACCTTTGACTTTGTCTGGACTCTTTGGCATGTCCCCAACAGAGCTTCACTGATCTCCTCTGACCTCCTTTGTTCTTGCATTCATGTTTTATTCATTTTTTTTCCCTTGAGCCTTCATCCCAATAAATTAGAAGAGTGAGAATCAACTGATGTTTGGTGACATGGAGACAAAGTGCTGTGGGCCGGGGAAGAAACTTTAGCATTTGGGATTTGTAGAATCTGTCAATATGTGAAATGCCTTCAGAGGTGCAGATTTCAACCCATCCACATCTTTTTATCCTGGGCGCTTCTTGTGCCTGTCCTTCCGTAAATCTTTTAGAGGGCTGTTACCCAGCATACTACTGGCCTTCCTCTGTTTCTTAGCATTATATGGATACCAATGGCCTTCAAAGGCTGTCTGCCCAGGAATCCTTACCTTTCCCTATGAGATGGGCCCACCTCATTCTGGTCATACATCTCTCTGATGACATTGCATTTGTCCCTTCTGCTCAGTTTTTCCTTGGTGATATGCTGTAGCCTATGTTTGCCCGTCATGTGCCCCTCCGTTGCACTTTAAAGAAAAATTTTACTAATGCCTTTTGCTTTTATAAAATATTCATTGCTCAATATATATCTTCCCTCATTGGACCTTCCCTCATAACAAAATTTTTACTCAAAAGTTCCATAATAACCATCACATTGATCATATATATCCAATAGTATATGCAATAATATATACCTATAGTCTTCCCACTTCTTCCATGAAGTGTTTATTTTCTCTTCTCTGTGGCAAAGTTTAGTAATTATAATTACATAACATTCAGCATCAATTCTTTTCCATTTTTTAGTCTTTGGGTATGTTTCTTTCCTAGTTCTGCTTGTTATTCTGCCTCAGTTCATACAAGTCATCCTATATTTGTCTGAATTTCTCATGTTGTTTCTTCTGTTGCAACACAATTCCATCATGTTCATGTGCCACAATTTGCTTAGACCTTTCTCAGTTGATAGGCATCTGCTTTGTTTCTACTTCTTTGCAACCACAGAGTGTTGCAGTAAACATTTTGATATATACACATATCTGAGCTTTTTTTCTATCTTTAACATCCTTGGCATATATGTTTAGCAGTGGGATCTCAAGATCAAAAAGTATAGAGATGTTGACAATTTTGAGCATAATTCCAAATTGTTTTTCACAATTGTTGTACCAGTTTACAGTTCCACAAATGAGGCATCAAGCTACCTGTCTTTGTTTAGTCCTTCCCACATCGACCTTTTTCCATATGTTTTCACCTTGGAAGATTTGCTGGGGAAGAGGTGAAACCTCAGGGTTGTTTCAATTGTTTCAATTTCCATTTCTCTCATTGTTAGTGATTTGGAGCAAACTTGAAAACTATTCATTTCCATTGACATCTTATCTACTGGCAAAGGCTCTTGGCCTTATAGATTTGTGTTCATTCCCTACATGTCTTGAATAATAGACCTTTATCAGAGACATTTGATGCAAAGACATTTTTCCCCATTAATAATTCTTTCAGCTGTTGGTCTTGTCATTCAAGTCTTCTCAGTTTCAGCTAATCAAAACTATTTTCTGTTCTTGGTTTTCTCTAACTCTTATTTAATTAACAATTCTCCTCTTAGTCACAGTTATGAAATCTACTTCCAGCCATTTCCTGGACCTTTGGTAAAACTTTGTTGGCTTTTTATTAGTGACAATAACTGAGTATCATCTAAGATGCCTCCTGAATTAGTGCTATTTGGGGTAAGTAGAAGGAAATTTATTGTTAAAAATCACTATACCATTTACCCATAATGCTTGGCAAGAAATGCTTTTAAATGTGGAAATGGGCATGCTGGGCCAACTCTACTCTGCATGCAAGTTGTTCTTCTCCTCCTTAGGAGAATGTAGAAGCCTGTCAGTATCTGAGTAGTAAGTGGGAGCTGGAGAGATGTGGGGAGAGTTGCAGCCTCCTAAAGGACTGGTAGGGGATGACTGCTCAACTACTTTTCCTTTTTGTACAGAAACAGTGTTATCTCTGAGCAATGTTTCCATTTTCAGGTTCCCATTGGAATATTTATCTTTTTTTTATCTACATTAATGAACTGTTGGAAACATGCAGACATTTGTTATTATTCCTAGCATCTAGGCTGCAAAACTCCTTTATTTAAGCTGATATGAATCTTCTCCATGAAATCATCATTTTGGAAACAAAGATCTCTGTAATTTAAAGATATAAGCTAAAATAAGAAAAAGCAATAAACCACAAAGGGAAGCAAGGAACTAAATGATTGTTAGGAGCAGGTGAATCCCAAGGGATCTAATCTTTAATCTGTAAGTAATCTGTCCTTTTCCAGTGGAATTGAACTTTCTGCCTGTTCTTTGGTGAGAAAGCAATAGACCATGGGTTCAAGGACTTCGTTCTTTCCTTTGATAAAATTTCATTCTTTCCTTTGATATATTTTCTATCAATCAATGCCCTTTGATTATAGAGCCTTGATCTAGAGATGGAAGAGATCTCTGAGGCCATCTGGTCTGATTTTATAGATGAGGAAGATGAGGCCCCATAAGATTAATCAAATCAAATGAGTAAGCATTGGTTAAGTGCCTTCTGTGTGCCAGGCTCTGTGCTAAGTGCTGGGGACACAAAGAAAGGCAGAAAATGGACCTTGCTTTGAAGGAGTTCATAGTGTAAAAGTCAAAGAGGATTTTATTTTCATTCCTGTAGGTAATTGAGGGCCACTGGAATTTACTGAATAAGAGAATAACATAGTCATATCTGCACTTTATTTTTTAAAATAGCATTTTATTTTATTCTGATTGCATGTAAAGGCAATTTTCAACATTCATTTTTGTAAGATTTTGAGTTCCAAATTTATTTCCCTCACTCTCTCCCCTTTCCCCTTCACAAAACAGCAAGCAATCTGATTTAGGTTATACACGTTCAATCATGTGAAATAAATTTCCACAATAGTAATGTTGTGAAAAAGAAACAGAACAAAAGAGGGGGAAAACATGAAAAGAACAAAGAAAGTGAAAATAGTATGCTTAAATTTGCATTCGGACTCTATCAGTTCATTCTCTGGATGTGGATAGCTTTTTCCATAATGAGTCTTTTGGAAATACTTGCACTTTAGAAAGAGCAATTTGACACCTGAGTGGAGAATGGCCCAGAGTGGGGAGAGACTTTGAGGCAGGGAGATCCTCTCAGCAGGCTATTGCAATAGTTCTTGCCTAAGGTGATGAGGGCCTGGGCCAGGATGATTGCAATGTTTGAGGAGAGAGGAGGGCAGTCATGAGAGATGTTACCAATGTAGAAATGATGGGACTTGACAAACATTTGTATTTGGGAGATGAGAGTATAGAGTCAAGGCTAACAAGGATGTGAGTCTGAGTGACTGATAGGATGGTGATACCTTCCATAGTCATAGAAAAGTGAGGGAGGTGGGAGTTTGGAAGTGGGGCAAAAGTAATAAGTACAGTTTTTGACATGTTGAGTTTAAGTTATCTAGAATATATTCATTTTATAAGTGTCCAATAGGCAGTTAGAGATGTGAGAATGGAGGTCTGGAAAGAGGTTAGGATTGGACAAATAAATATGAAAGTCATCTGTTTAGAAATGATAGTTTAATTTGTGGGAGCTGATGAGACCATTAATCTGAATAATATAGAGAAAGAAGAGAAGAGGGCCCAGGACAGAGCCTCAGGTCACACAGGGAGTAAATGTCAGAGTAATGTCCTCTGATTCCAGAACCAGTGATCTTTCCAGTGTAATGCTGCCTTATACTAGGTGACCCGATGCCCAAAATAGTGGGAAAGGTAGTCCCCTGGCTTTACCCTGCCATTTTTTGGGAACATGTCTTGTGTTACTCCTTTGTAAATAATGTTAGTTTTCAATTTTAGATATATACTTTTATCATATTCACAACAACCAAAATATCATACTTACATATAGGTCAAAATCTTTATGGCAGCACTTTTTTGTGGCACCAAAGAAGTAGAGACAAGACAAGTGCTCATTGATTCCTTAATGGCAAACCAAATTGTGTTAAATAAATTTAATGAAGCAGAAGAATTCAGAAAAGACATGGAAGACATATTAAGTGTTATAAAATGAAATAAAACCAGAAAAACATTGTATACAGTAATGATTACAATATAAATTGAAGGAATAATCACCCAAATTGAATGTCATACATTAATGACCAAACTTGGGCTCCTTTGAAGAGGTGAGGAAGTGGACATCCATCCACTGCACAAGCAGAGGATTATGAGTGTGAAATGATACATAAACTGTCAGACACAGTTGCTGTATTGACTCTTTTGGTGAAGGTTTTTCCTCTTTTAAATGTTTCAAAGGTTAGGGGAGAGGAGGGATGTATTCATTTATGAAGGTCGTATAAAAACAAAAGACAATTTTTTATTTAAAGCAAAGGAAATGGAGCATTTGCAGATCTTAAATGATCTATAATCTTAAATAATCAACATATACTTGTATATGTTTTGAAAAGAGAGGTAATAGGGAAGCACTGGAGTTTATTGAGTATATGTAGGGATCGTAACTACAACTTAGGAAAATTGCATCAGCAAATCTGTGAAGGATGGCTTGGTGTGGGGAGATGATTTGGAAGTTGTTGCAATAATCAAGGTGATGGAGGCCTGGATTAAAAGGGGACACATATAAGAGATGTTACATAGATACACACACACACACACACACACACACACATACACACACACAAGCACACAAAAACCTACAGATGTAGCGAGAGTGAAGATGGCATTGAAGTATTAGACATGGATGACTGGACGGATGTCGGTGCCCTCGTTAAGAAGATGGGGTGGGAGAGGCCCAGAGAAGTAGGCCCTGTTGCTGTTGCAATGCAACTGCTTGTGGCTGCTGCTACTGATGGGGGTCCCTCCTCCATGGAAGACTCAGGTGAGGAGCCTCCAACATCAGCCATCCATCTGGATCACTACTATTTCTCTC